TGATGTCATTAAGAGACTGGTTGTTTCTACATGATGTCATTAAGAGACTGCTTGTTTCTACATGATATCATTAAGAGACTGCTAGTTTCTACATGATGTCATTAAGAGACTGGTTGTTTCTACATGATGTCATTAAGAGACTGCTTGTTTCTACATGATGTCATTAAGAGATGGCTTGTTTCTACATGATGTCATTAAGAGACTGCTTATTTCTACATGATGTCATTAAGAGACTGCTTGTTTCTACATGATGTCATTAAGAGACTGCTTGTTTCTACATGATGTCATTAAGAGACTGCTTGTTTCTACATGATGTCATTAAGAGACTGCTTCTTTCTACATGATGTAGTTAAGAGACTGCTTGTTTCTACATGATGTCATTAAGAGACTGCTTATTTCTACATGATGTCATTAAGAGACTGCTTGTTTCTACATGATGTCATTAAGAGACTGCTTGTTTCTACATGATGTCATTAAGAGACTGCTTGTTTCTACATGATGTCATTAAGAGACTGCTTCTTTCTACATGATGTAGTTAAGAGACTGTTTGTTTCTACATGATGTCATTAAGAGACTGCTTATTTCTACATGATGTCATTAAGAGACTGCTTATTTCTACATGATATCAGACAGAAGCTGCTTGTTTCTACATGATGTCATTAAGAGACTGCTTGTTTCTACATGATGTCATTAAGAGACTGCTTGTTTCTACATGATGTCATTAAGAGACTGCTTGTTTCCACATGACATCAGAAAGAGACTGCTTGTTTCTACATGATGTCATTAAGAGACTGCTTATTTCTACATGATGTCATTAAGAGACTGCTTGTTTCTTTATGATGTCATTAAGAGACTGCTTGTTTCTACATGATGTCATTAAGAGACTGCTTGTTTCTACATGACATCAGAAAGAGACTGCTTGTTTCTACATAATGTCATTAAGAGACTGCTTATTTCTACATGATGTCATTAAGAGACTGCTTGTTTCTTTATGATGTCATTAAGAGACTGCTTGTTTCTACATGATGTCATTAAGAGACTGCTTGTTTCTACATGACATCAGAAAGAGACTGCTTGTTTCTACATTGTTTTGTGCAGCGCCCCTTTTTGGCCGAAGGATGGCCTCAGTAGCTTCTGCCTCAGTCTCCCGGTGCCCAGCTGCAAGCAATTATCTATCTGGGTATATATATATATATATATATATATATATATATATATATATATATATATATATATATATATATATATATATATATATATATATATATATATATATATTATTGATAATGAAAACCAAAAATGAACACAAATTAATAAATAAATTCAAATATATTGCTTTCATTAGATTATTTATTTTAAAAAACTAAATTAGTATATACATAGTTTTTAATAAAGATTTACTATTTAAATTAAAAAATTCTAACAAAAATATGTAAAATGGTAAAATAGTTTTTCAAAATGCAACAATTTTTTCAACTAAATACATAAAATAATTAGGTGAATATGTATTTACAAAATGTCAAATCATCTCAGTTTTACAAATAAAAGTTGATTAAATAGACAGGACAGCTTGAAACACTGCAAAACTCTGCTGAACTCCATAAAATCTAAAGAATCATTTTAATATAAACATTCACAAATGTTAATAAAACCAGGATTCAGCAGAATAAAGAAAAATGTCTCTCAGTTTTTCTTATTTTCCGTACAGTTCATAACCCTGACCCGCGTGGGGGAGGGGAAACCCCGTCAGGATACGGTGGGAATTAAAAAAACTCCTGTGTGGTTTGATGGACCTCAAACCATCAACTTTACATGAAGAAGGAGCTAAAAGTCGCCTGAACCTGGAAACAGAGCGTCCAGGGTTTCATCCATCATCCTCGTTAGACTAAAGTCTGGGGTAGCTTCGATAAAACCCCGTTAGCGCTAACCATGTGATGCCCAATTGCCCTCTTACCTCAGCTCAAGGCTGCTTCTCATCTGTCCGTCACTTGTCACAGTTTTCTTACGAATGCCGACAACAACTCCGTGGGAGTTTCCTGTGCAGCAGCTCGTTTCCTCTTTCTGCCTAAAGCTGCTGATCTGCTGTCAGATGGTTTGTGTTTCTAACTCTTCTCCAGAAAACGGCTGAGCACAAAGCAGGAGGGGCACAATGTCGGAGTTTTTATATTTTTACACGAGTGAGAAAACTACAAAGTGGCCTTCATCTGTTTCCGTCTTCGTCTGGTTATCCATGTCCAGGTCACGGGGCAGCAGCTCTAGCAGTGCTTCTGCAGAGGTCACAAGGTGATCCACCCCAGAGATACAACCTCTTCAACGTGTCCTGGGTCAGGAGGTCATGATTAAAACTCCTCCTCCAGGAGGCGTCCCAACCAAATACATGAAACACCTTTCTTGACTCATCTCAACAGGGAACAGCGACTCTTCTGGGACCTTGAGCTCCTCGTCATTAAAGTCTGAGCGCAGGCGCCCTGCAGAGAAAACCCACGGTTGTCTGAGATCGTTTATATTTATGCTGAAGATCAGATGAAAGGCATAGCTTATTTTATTGATTTCTTTGGCCTTTTGGTTTGAATTTCCTTTTGTATTCTGAGTTTTATTCTTCTTTTTACCAGATAAGTCATCACACCTTTGTTACATTTATTTAACAAACTCAGCTGCTTCTCATCCAGCAACCCTCCCTGTATTTAAAGTCCTCAGTTTCTCTGAGCCATTGTCAGGCTCTAACGCTCTTTTTGTGATATTACGTTTATAATTTCTGCTTCGGCTTGAATTTTCTGCTTCATTAAAGGGTATGTGTTATGATTAGGGTTGGGAATCAGTTCCCATTGTTTCAATTCCCAGGAATCGTTCGCCACTTTTGCAAACGATTCCCCTTATCAATTCCGGTCAGCGCCAATGACGTCACCACGCACGTTGCGTAGCTTACAGAAGCAGGAAACATGGCATCTAGGCGGCACACACGCTTGAAGGTTTGGTTATATTTTACAAGAAAGCATGAAAACGGGGTAACTTGCAATAAGGAGGAAACGTTACAAATATACCAAAGCCTTTGAGTACAAAATACGCTAAAACGTAGCTATCGACGTGTTTTGAGGGTTAGGGCAAATCAATGCTTGATATGAGAATTTTTATTCGAGTCCCACCCCTCGTTTAAAAGCTAGCGCCACACTGGACAAACCATTCCTGAGCCAAACTAGTTCATGCTTAGCTTGAAACACAAAAATCATTTGGTCAAATTAAAATGTCAAATTCTCAACAACTGATTGAACCCCTTAAGCCCTAGGCCTATTTTGAAGCCTATTCCTCGAAAATTGGTAAAAATGGTGAAAATAGTTTAGATAGCCTTGTAGTGCTGGGCTTGCTGATTCATTAGATGGGAATTATTACTGTTTCTTCTGTAGTGTGAGGGTTGTTTGGGGCCTGTTAAGGAACTAACATCACAGCTTAAGGGGTTAAACAGCTTTCTGTTGGCTTATAATTCCTAAAATAAGAACTGATGAAAACAGATTGTTATTAATTTTATTGATGTTTGAAGTGTTGATAGAAGCAGCAGAAACCAATTCAATTCAAGTTTATTTATAAATTGCCAAATCACAAGAAATCTTGCCTTGATGTCTTGGCCCCGCCCGGCCCCGGTTGCCTAGGAGATACGTCATCAGGAGCCGCCAAGACATGTTCCAATCGGTTCCAATGTTCATGTTTTACTGAGGCGTGTGTTCTCCGTTTGTTAGTTGTTTAGCTAGCTGAGCAAGGATGCACAGTCTTGTAGCCTAGCCTTGGTCAAAAATTACCCATAATACACAGCGTTTTTTTCAAAAGGACGGCGGATCAGAAGCCGGCAGTTACTTCGGGGACAATTTAAGTTTAAAAGTAAGTCAACTAATTTAAAATGTTTTTTGGGGGGGAGGATCTAAAGCAGTTATTTGTGGTTGGTTAGTTGCTTAGTAGTTGCAGCTTCGGTGGCTAGCGGGTAGTAACTCGCTTATATTTTTTATTTAATAAATATATACACAAGTTAAAAAGGCTCGTTATATATTTATGTTGAAACTAATGCGTATGTTACGTCCCCGACAGGTGTTGTAAAAATGTGAAGGATGGGGTAACATAAGAACTGGCGGAGGAGTTTAAAAAGGGTTTATTTGTAACAAAAAGGTATTAAAAACACAAGCAAACAGATCTCTCTAAAAGGTTAACATTACACAGCAAATTATCAACTATTAAACACCTGGCTAAAACTTGTATTAAAAGCTTAGCCGAACAGAAGGTGTTTTAAAATCCTGAAGTTGATAAAAGTTCCAAAACAATCCACTGACTAAAAACACCTGGTAAAAACGTATTTTAAAAGCTTTACCACAACGAAAGGTGTTTAAAACCGAGGTCAGTAAAGTTGCACAAACAAAGTTAACCTTAAAACCAAACAGCCAGAAAGATCCCACTGGATCATCCAAAACTTATCAGAGTTAAAAACTACCACAGTTTAAAACTCAAACAAATCCAAACAAATCCAAACGAAAGAGGTTGAAAACAAAAACCGGGAGGACAGCAGAACCCCTGCACTGCTGCCTCTCAGACTGCTGAAGGCACAGCCTTTTTATACAGGTGTTTAGCCTGGCAAGCCAGACTAAATAAATGTATTATTTATTTATTCTTTGCAAAGCAAGAATTTGGCCCAGTTCACTAGGCTAACAGGTGTTGGCAATCAAGGAAGATTCAGCTCAGCTGTGCTCCTCAGCAGCCCGGGAGAGAGGAGGAGGAGGGGCGGTGTCAGGCTGCTTCAGCAGAGCTGGTGATCCTGGCTCCTGCTCTTCCCTGGCCAGACTGGCAACCGTAACAACGTATAAAATATAACGTTATCTCCCGTGTCACATGATGTTACATGACCGCCGTGGAAGCCGTGGTCACATGATGCAAGTCTGTTCCATTTAACCGTTTTCTTTTGGATTTCTTTGACCAAGGAAGGACAGTGTCCTCGTAAGCAAGGTGCCTGGCCTCGCAAGATATCGCCTCGCCAGGCCAGGTGCCTTGACATTGAGAAACACCCACTGACTAGTGTCAGTGACTTTACAGCAATCCTTATGTAACCCAGGTTATCTTCCAGAGTTATTGAGCCTAAATTCCTTAAAAAAAATTCTCCATGTTTAGGAACCGTTTTCGGTAGAATAAAAAATTACGAGGGTTACTTGAACGCAGCATGGAGCGTTTTGAACAGGTGAGCAGAGGCTCAGCTAACTGCCTTCAGCGGAGTAATAGATGACTGGAAACTTCTAGGAATGTAAGGTTGATCACTTGAGAAGGGTTTAAGATTATTTGTGAGAAGTTTTTATTGAAACAAAAGTGTTTTATGATTATAGAGTGTGTCCGCTACTGGAGGAGGAGCCGTTAGAAGTAGACCTCGATTTGTTTTTTGAGGAAACCCTTTGGTGAGTTAATCTAATGTTTCATGGACTGGATGTAAATGTAGATGTGAAACAAAGTAGGAAAAAACGTTGATGTAAGCTATGCTAAGCTGTGTTCTGTGAAATATATGTATGTTTTTGAGCGTTCGTGACGGTCTCATGTAGCCGCATTTTTAAGCCACCCGGCTAGCTGTTAGCTCAGTTTCTGTGAGTAGATGTGTTAAACTGTTGAGAAAATGAATTGTACACAAATTTCCTGTGAAGATAGGGTGATTTGTTTTGCTTTTATATTTATTTTGTTAATGAAATCTACTTTTCCAAGTACAGTTATTTTGTGAGCTTGGAAGATAATAGAAAAAAGAGGGTGACATTATTATAATTTAGTTGCATATGTTTTATGCAGGCTTGTTGATTGAGGTTGAAATCACCTTTTCCTGCCTGGAAAGCCAACACATTTAAGGACTCAGATGCACTGCTTTGGTCCACTGGAGGGGTATTCATACTCATGGGTGCCACATCCATGGCAGGAAGTCTTCATCATATCCTGTTTCGTCAAAGATGTGGTAGGATCATTTAAGACCTCTACTCTACTCATAGGACTGACCTCTACACTACTCATAGGACTAAGGTTTATTTTCCCTTCCTGAGTGAGGGTTTGGACACTTTTTTGGCAACTTTCCAACATTTTAATGGACTGAATTATCCATCTGCCCAAAAGTAAGAAGACTGGGACATAGTCCTGAATACATCGTTAAAGGACAATTGGTTTTATTTTTATTATTTATTTATTTATTTATTTATTTATTATTTATTTATTTATTTATTTATTTATTTATTATCTATTTATTGATTGTTCGACTTTATCATTCCTCTAAGAACCCTCTAGGAGATGGAATTTAGCAGTTATCTCCTTTATGATGAATTTTACAAACTGTTACATACTTCAATATATTTAATTTATTGAATTGATTGTTGTGTGTGTGGTTTGTGGGTTGGAGGTTTCAAACCTCAGATAATGAGCTACTACTGCTAAGAACCCAGCAGTAAAGTTCAAAGGAACAAAAAGCAAGAAACTTTAGGAAATAAGACGCATTTGATCCTGTAGCTCCCACAACACTTTAACCCTGAAGAAGTATTCTGCGCTGAGAGATTTGAATACAGATACTCAGTTTTTCAGGGAGCCACAGGTTACACTTATACTAAACAAGCATGTAGCGACAGTGGAGAGGAAAACTCCCTTTTAACAGGAAGAAACCTCCAGAGGATCCTGGCTCAGTATAAGGAGCCATCCTCCACGACTCACTGGGGATGGAGACGACGGAAAACACACACACACACACACACACACACACACACACTTAATTAATTAAACAAGTAAACTAGTAGTAGCACATTCAATATCAAAGAGAGGAAAATGTTGTTATCAGGAGAGGGAGAATGTTTTAGTGGTTAGCAGCAGTGATGGCCCCCTCCATGAGGCCACCACAGCTCAGCAGAACATCAGTGTAGCTTCTTCTGGGGAGAAAAACACTGAGAGAAAAATAAAGTTAACAGCTGAAACAGCAGGATGGCAGCACAAAGAGATTGCATCATCTGCCCCCTTTAAAGTTTTTCTACTTTATTCAGTTTGAGGCTCTTGAGCCCAGAATTTGTGTCTGTAGCCTAAATATTCAGGGTAATGAAAACCAGCTGACCCACTGCTGCGGGTGTTAAGATAACCGAATAAAAACCAACCACATGCCTTTAGGTACTAATCTAAAGGTGGCTCACCCACACACCTCACTATTCTCACAGAGAGCTGGCTTCTATCTCCAGCTGTCATCATGCTAGGGACAGGAGGACACCCTGGACAGGTCCACTGCATCACATGGACACAGACAAATAACTAGTCGCACAGTTGCTCACACTTAGGGAGAGTTTTAGAGTCTTAAATCAACATAACACTCATGTTTTTGAGTACGGGAGAAAATCTACGCATAACTGAGATAACAAGCAAACTCCACAGAGAAAGGCAGCAGGTGGGATTTGAACCTGCAACCCTCCCATGACCTGATGTTGACTGTTCTGGTCTGACTCTTTCTAGTCTAGACTCTAACAGTTGGTTTGGATCTGACCCAGATCAGACTTTTAATGCACACTAAGAGAAAGACTCGAGTGTTTTTAATGTCACCAACTTCGTCTGCTGCGTCTCAACGCCACTGAGCTCAATTCTGATTCCTCAAATTTAAATTAGAATCTGCAGTCTGACTCATTTCAGCTTTCAGATCTCTTTCAGTGAAGAGTGGCTGTTTCAGAGGCAGCACAGAAAGTTTCACTAGCCAAACTTGTTTTCTTTGAATCCTCAAGATTTTCCAGGGACATTTTTCTCTTATCGACAGAATTTGCAGGAATTCCTTTTGTTACTTAACCTTATTTTGAATTGGGGAAATAAATGAATGTCTCAATAAGAGAAAGATGGAGGAAAAAAAAAAACAAGTGGCTTTGATTTTAATTCATACACTGCCTGGCCCCAAAACAAGTCACCACCTGGATTTAACTAAGCAAACCGGTAGGAACCTCCTATTGGATAATCACTGCAGGATGAAGAGTTATTTAACCCAAATGGTGCAATGAGCTGCTTCTCATTTCTTAAACAATAATGGAAAGACACATTTGGTGGTTGTGGAAAAGATGTTAGTCTGGTCAGATCATTGGCATCAAGCAGAGAAATCATCTCAGGAGATTTCAGAAACGACTAAAACTGGGTTGAAAACAGTCCAACGCTTATTTAAACTGGTCTGATGAGTCCAGGTGGACCCTGTTCCAGGGCGATGATGTAATGATCGGGTCTCTCACACCGCCGATGTGGGTGGTGTAGAACCCAGACGCAGAAGAAACGAGCGTTGGGAGCTGCAACCACGCAGTTAATCTAGGAGCAACGGCGCCGGACCCAAGTGCAAACGGGAATGCGGCGTTTTTCCGAAAAGTAAGGAACTGAGGCGAAATGCCTGAAGAGCAGAGAAGCTCGAATAAACAGCTGGTAGGCTTTTAGGATGAGCTGGATAGCTTGGATATCTGACATAGATTCCTGAATCGATGACTGAGTGAGTATGTGGCTTGTATTTCCTCCCTTTATCAATGGCGATGACGACGTAGGAGGAAGAGCGGTGAGAGGGGAATGATGGGAAGTGAAGTTCCAGGCTGAAGATCTGTAGGAAACTAAGTGGAGGATGAACACCGAGTGGATGTGACAGATGGTGCATCAGGGTAAGAAGAGAGGCAGATAAAGTGATGCACCCATCATGTCTAGTGCCTACTGTACAAGCCTGTAGGGGCAGTGTTATGATCTGGGCTTGCTGCGGGTGGTCAGGTCTAGGTTTAGCTACAGGATGTTCTCCAGTAATGAGGTCAGCTGACTTCCTGAATATCCTGAATGATCAGGTTATTCCATCTTCCCTGAAGGCACGGCCATTTTCCAAGATGACAATGCCAGGATTCATCAGGCTCAGAGAGTGAAAGAGTGGTTCAAGTTGCGTGAGACATCCTTTTCACACATGGATCGGCCACCACAGAGTCCAGACCTTAACCCCAGTGAGAACCTTTGGGATGTGCTGGAGAAGAAGGATTTGTGCAGCGGGCAGACTACCATCATCAGTGCAAGATCTTGGTGAAAGGTTAATGCAACGCTGGATGGAAATAAATCTGGTGGCATTACAGAAGCTTATCGAAACAACGCGTGTGTCGTAGTCAAAGGTAAAGGCGGTCCAACGACATGTGGCCTTTTTTTGGGCCGAGCAGCGTAAAATCGTTTTAAAGAACCAACGATGTGGAAAAATGCAAAAGAAAGTTCAAATATTCATATTTTTATTTGTGACAAACGCACAAGTTCTACACATGAAATGTGGAAACGAGTCGGTGGAAACATGCAGACCTCGGTGCATCGCAGACAAAAGTATTTCCTCCTTTTGAAAAACTTCTCACACTTGTAGCCCTCTTGGCTTCCTGCCCAGTTAATTGTTTTCACACCTCCGTCAGAGAAAAGTCGCTGATGAGTGAAGATAGAACAAGACCAATTCCTCATTTCTTCTTCTCACACATGAACGCACACACAAGCCATGTGTGACATGAACATGTGCAGAAAATTCATTTCAAAGTCTTCAATTAGACTAATTCCTGCAGAGTCTGGTGTTTTTATCTAACTGCAGAACAAAACGAAGGAACTGTTGGCTCTGAACGTTTGACGGTGGGTCTGGCGGGAGTCCAGGCGTGCAGGCAGGAGCACAACAGATGCTTTCTCTGGAGGATTTACAGAGAAAAACCAGTCCTTCTCCTTTTCAGAAACAAGGAGGAACTCAAAGCCTCAGGACTCGCTGGGGTTGAGAAACTGACGAGTGTGACGCTGATGAAGTTGACTAACCATCCATACTGTCAGTAAGTCACTGAGTGAACCTGATTCAACGTTAGGATGGAACAGGCCAGCTGACGCTGCTCATCTGTTTTATGACTTCTCTGTTTTCATGATGCTTCATCAGAGGCGGTCAAACAACCAGAGAACAGATAAATATTCATTATTGCTGCAAAGTTTTATTTTCTCCTTTTGTTTTACGCAGTTTGCAGAAAATTTATTTACACAGTAAAACAAGTAAACAAATAGGACTTTAGAGCAAACAGAAAACTCACTTCAGGCTCCCTTCTGCCACCTCGTGGCCAACAATAAAAACAACAAAAACATATTTTTGTTCTAAACAAAATAAAAACACACTTCACTAGATTCTCATAAACAAACCGCAGACAATAACTTATTCATAAAAGTTTATTTTTTGTTTTTTAAAGTATATTTTTAGAAAGGTTTGGATTCAGATTATTAAAGAAACGCATCAAACTAACTAGATATAAAATACTATATTTGAATATAATATTAACTAATACATGTTTACATTTTAGGAATACATGAGGGAAAGACATGAATAAATAACCAGATAACCAATATTTAAGGAATACATAAACAAATAAATGTATTGACCGAATGAATTAACAAACATCTCCATAAAAACAAATGACAAAAACAACAAATACATAAATGAATGCATAAAAACACAAATGATAAAATATTAAAGACCAAGTTCACTGTTTTTTTTCAACACATTTGCAGTGGTCTCTCGTATTAATGAATGCCTTGTGAGTCGATCGGTGTGACAAAAGCTCTGGCGCTCCTGTTTCAGGAAGTAGAAGTTAACCGGATGAGAGATGAGCAGCAGGTGGCAGGATTTGGACTCTTATTTCCTGATATTTGGACATCTTGCCTCTGATTGGCTAACAGCAACGTGACTCTACCACTGACTCAGTTTGCTTTGTGATTAAGATGTTTTATCTCCACAAATAACACAAGCCTGAAGGAGTTGCTAACGCTAACAGTTAGCTTCTGCTAGCCGAGACGTTCTCTGTTCTCTTCTGGACGCTAAACCAACAACAGCTTTCTCCGTCGTGAGCCAAGATGGACGAGTCCATGAATGCTCATTTATGGTTTCATGAGTAATTATCAGACTTTTCTAATCTGAGAGTTTCCTCGTCTTCTTTCTTCTGGTGGCTAACGCAGGAATGATAAATGATAATGACCCACACTTGTATAGCGCCTCTCAGAGTAAGGACTCCAAAGCGCTTTACACTACAGTGTATCATTCACCCATTCACACACACATTCACACACTGATGGTGATGAGCTACAATGTAGCCACAGCTGCCCTGGGGCGCACTGACAGAGGCGAGGCTGCCGAGCACAGGCGCCACCGGACCCTCCGACCACCACCAGCAGGCAAGGTGGGTTAAGTGTCTTGCCCAAGGACACAACAGCAGAATTCTCTGTCCGGAGCCGGGATCGAACCTGCAACCTTCCGATTACTGGAAGCTACTGCTGCCCCATCGGAGTAGAAGACTGTTTTCATGTTTAGCCTGTATGTTCGAGTCAGAATGACCGACCGTATATATATATATATATATAAAAAAAAACAAGTAAAACGCAGTTTCTCATTGAACTTGCTCTTTAAACCATTCATCATTTATCTAAATAAAAATAAATAACTAATAAATAGACAGCGTATTTAATCCAGGTGCTTTTCTGTGATTTACGTGATTTAGTCGAGTGAAGCAGCAGGAAGCAACATGCTTCCTGTTTAGTCTTTTTTTTCCCCAGGAAGTCAAACAATGCAGGTCGATAAAAAAGTGTACTGCTGGCAATTCCAACAAATTAAATCAGCTGAAATAAAAACCGTTAAACTGAGAAGTGAAACAACAAATAATCCAATCCAATCCAATTTTATTTATAAAGCGCATTCACAAGGCATTACAACCAAACAAGGCGCTGTACACTAAAAATAATCATTAGATACAGACAATCTGATGGGACAAACGTGTTGCTGCAGGTTAATGGAGCTGCACAATCTGCTGCTGTAACATGAAACACCGTCGGGCTAACGAGGAGGTAATGTACATGAATTAAACTGATGGAGAACACGCCTGTATGTCTGGGGAAAAGAATAAAAAAAAGAGTCGTCAATAAGTGGATTTTTCTTTAGGATGGATGAGCTCATAACATTAAAGTCATTATAACACAATTGTGGGTCGGTTTCAGCTGAGAAGCTCCTTTTCTGTTAGATTTAGTGCTGTTGGGTCTTATGTGACAGGCGTTATAGCTACCCAACCTGTGATGAATAAAGTTGAACGCAAAATTGACCGACCCCCTCTGTGTGGCAATAAAAGATATAAAGGTTTTGGTGCTACGGTGTCTGCTGTTGACCAAATGGCAAAAACTACCCTCAAGTCAATTTCACACACAAACATTCCCCGTTCATATTTTACAATTTCACCGGTTGGGATCAAACTTAACTTTGGAATGTGGAGAAATGACTTTACTCGTTTGTCCTCAAAATTCAGATCAAGAAAATGTTTCATGTGACTGGAACGATCCCAAAATGCTTCCCAGCATAGAAGGAATATCTGGTATAACAATTTTTGGAGGCATTACGGTAATCGTGAATCCAGAAGCTTGTCTAAAGGGAAGGATTGGGTCAAAGGTCGATATGATGCTCTCAAAGTATAAACTAGCAATAAAAACACAAAAATTCTCTTTGGTCTTTGCTACATTTGGACTAGCTGTTAGCATGTCAATCTCAGTTTCTTCAACCTGATCTTCAAAGCTTAAATTATTTTCGCCAAAGAACCTGACTTCAAAGTATAAATATTTTTTTCTATGCTTTAGTTTCAGCTTTTTTGAACAATCTGTTTTTGTAGAGCTTCGGGTTTAGGGTTAGGGTGTCGCTACTTCACCTGTCCCCTCTACCCAAATGAAACATTTCCTGTTTTCTTTTTCTTGCAGTGTTGAGGTGCATGGTGCACTTTGACAAAAAACAAAAATGAAAGCGAAGAAGCCCTGGAGCGAAACGACTCTTTTTAAGCCTTCCACGGTTGATTAGTTGTGAAACTAGACGGATGTTATCAGCAATCACTGCAAAATTAATGAGAAAAACTACTTTTAAAAAAGTAGAGAATGACTTGAGTGTTTTCGCTCCACTTCCTCTCAGCTGAAGTGTCCTATAAAAAATAAACAGTCACCTTGACTAAAGCAAATCTTTGCTGGCTACAGAGTGCCACAGCTCAACAAGGCCACAAAAGAAAGACAAATGCATCACATTAGTATTCCCTATAGCCCTCTTATGGCTGTCATAATCTATTAAGATGAATGGGGCTTGATTTTAAATTTAAGCTATTCCCCAAACCATTTGCAGAGGTGTAAATAAACGGGGAATTTGCAGGGGATATTTTGCCCACTAAGGTAAAGCGATCACAGACAAAGGCACACATACACATTACTGTAATCAAGAGAAAACTAAATGGGCCATCTGGCCATCAGCTCAGTTTGAAGTCGCTTTGGGAATTTAATTTTTTTGGGGGAAAAAAAACAACAAAATTGTTTAAAAATGGGCACAAGTATAAAAAAGGAACCACTTGTGCAAACGACTGTTTTATACATGAATCGTAGAAATAAAAATATATTAAAGCTCTCATTTACTCATTATTTTAATGTATCTGCTGTGGTTTAAATGAAGGCCTTGTGAGCTCTGGCGCTCCTGTTTCAGGAAGTAGAACTTAGTGAGAGGACTGGGGAGCAGAACACAGCAGGATCTGGAGTTCGATTGGCTAACAGCAACACAACTCTTCCACTGCTTCTCTTCACTCTGCAGCATTCATGTTTCATCTCCACCATAACCTAGAAGATTTCTGCCATGTTGTGGGGTTGCTAATGCTAACAGTTACTAGCCAAGATGCGCTCTGCTCTCTCCTGGACAGCAAATCATCAACAGCCTTCCCCGTCGCGAGCCAAGATGGGTGAGTCCATGATTGAAACCATGATTGAAAATTTCCAGTGACGTCAATCTGTGTGGCTTTTTCTGACCTGATCGGTGGCTGATGCAGGAATTAGGGCTGGAAAACCATTTTCACAATCAGTCTGCATGTGAAACTCAGTGACTGGTTGGATTTCAAAAATAATGAATTAAAAATAATGTCTCAGTGAATTTGGCCTTTGAAGTAACAGTAAGCAGTTTGCTGCTCCTCTGCTCTATTGGAACCGAAAATGCTAACCGCTAGCAGTCTTTCTGCTTTTAAATCAAGACAAGACCGAAGTTCTTATCTTTGGACCTGAAATTCAGAAAAGGAAATTGCTTAGTCAATCACCTGACCTGAACGGCATCAAATTCGTCTCCGAGAACAAAGTAAGGAACCTTGGTGTTATCTTCAACCAGGACATGTCATTCAAATCTCACGTTAAACAGGTTTGTAGGACTTCCTTTTTCCACCTCCGGAATATTGCTAAGATTAGAAGCATCCTTTCCAGGAGTTATGCTGAAAAACTAGTTCATGCATTTATTACATCAAGACCGGATTACTGTAATTCATTACTCTCAGGAAGTCCACAGAATGTAGTTAAAAGTCTTCAGCTTGTCCAAAATGCTGCAGCTAGAGCTCTGATGAGAATTAAAAAGAGAGATCATATCTCTCCTGCCTTAGCTTCCCTACATTGGCTACCTGTTAAATTCAGAATAGAATTTAAGATCCTTCTTCTCACATATAAAGCTCTTAATAATCAAGCTCCATCATACATCAGTGATCTGATTGTTCCATACGTTCCTAACCGAGCACTTCGCTCTCAGACTGCAGGTTTACTGGTGGTTCCCAGAATATCTAAAAATAGGAGTGGATGCAGATCTTTTAGTTATCAGGCTCCATCCTGTCTTCTCCATCACCAGTGAGTCGTGGTGGATGGCTGCTTATACTGAGCCAGGATCCTCTGGAGGTTTCTTCCTGTTAAAAGGGAGTTTTCCTCTCCACTGTCACTGCATGCTTGTGTAGTATGAGGATTGCTGTAAAAACTGTGACACTAGACAGTGACTCAATGCAACCTGCTGGGTTCCTTATGTAGGAAACTTTTTACAGACTGGCTTAATGAACTGACCTGTAGGTTTACTGTGTGACGAGCCTTGAGACGACTGTTGTCGTGATTTGGCGCTTTATAAATAAACTTGAATTGAATTGAAATACAGCTAACCTCTGTAAAGCAGGTAAAGAGCACCTCCTAGGACCTCAGCAGAGGGCAGCAGAGTGGTGTCAAAATGAAACTGGTCAAGTGGTCAATGAGAAAAATGTTAAAGCTCTAGTTTCAAGTTAAAAAAACTGTTCTATTGTTACTTTAAAACATCATAAAACACAGCAAGATTATGAAAGTGATGCAATAAAAACACTTCAAATAAATGAAATAATGTCAAATAAGAGATTGTGGGTGTTGTACTGTTTGGGACTCAGAGACCAGATGTTCTTAAGCCACATCTGTAATGTTCTCTCTTCCCATCAAAGGCACGGCAGATCAGTGGATTTCCTCAGCTTTATCAGCTTCCCACCTTTCTCGTCTGCCTCCAGAGCTCCATGTTCTGAGTCACCACTCCTCAAACCTTTCAGAAAAATCTCACCTCTAATCTTTCTGTTCTTAAGCCTTATTTTTGTCTTCCCCGTTGTCCTTATACCTCCATTAAGTCTGAAGTTAACTGCTGCACCACCGCTGGGATTAGATCACAGTGGGATTTAATGCATGGACGGACATTTTCTGCTGTGGAATTGATTGTCTGAAGCGGCGGGAGCACGCCACGGCATTCCCAGAGTTGGAAAAGTCACCGGTCAAAGGTTACATGTGGACTAAAGGGTTCTAACGTGACAATTTGTTTCTTTTATCTGTAATCTGATGTTTTCTCCAAGATTTTCACATATTCTTCACATTTTACCCCGATCCCGTGCATCCTCCCTCCCTCTCCCTTTATCTCCCCTCACTTTCTCCCCTTCATCTCACCTCCAGCAAACCGGAGCGCCCTCCTCTTCCCCCTCCTCTTCCTCTTCTTGCATCGTTCAGCCTGCCTGCTCTGGTCCACTTTTCTCTTCACACCGCTCCCTCTCTCTGCTGTCCCTTATCTCTCTCTCACCCTTTCCATTTCTTCCTCTCCGTCCTTCACCTCACTTCTCCAGCTGCCAGAAGCTCGCGGGCTCGTTGCTCTTCCTCCAACCACTGACGAGTCAGAGGAGCTCCAGACAGAAGGTAGGGGGAGTTCATGTGGTCATCTCTGAGTGGACCGTTGGTGTCCTCTTGAACAAGAGAGTTGTCAGGATGTTGGAGAAAGGAGGAGGACTATGCTGACGAGTCAGGGGTGAAGTCAGAGAACAGAGGCTGATTTAGAGCAGCAGCGGTAAAATGATTTAGTTTAAAAAGATCGAAAGGCACGGAATGCGATGTTTAAAAGATCAGGAAGCAGAAACATTTTAGGTGGAAAGAAAAAAGGGGAAAAGGTTGCTGAGATTTTCCTGCTTTCCCTTCCCGTAAGAATCCCATTCACAAACAGGAGCAGAAATCAGGCAGAGGTGATTGGTTCCATGAGCGCTGTGTGTGTGTGTGTGTGTGTGTGTGTGTGTGTGTGTGTGTGTGTGTGTGTGTGTGTGTGTGTGTGTGTGTGTGTGTGTGTGTGTGTGTGTGTGTGTGTGTGTGTGTGTGTGTGTGTGTGTGTGTGTGTGTGTGTGTGTTTATCATTGAGGGTTTGCATCAGAAATGAAATAGATGAAGGTCTAGAGGAGGACTGAGGGACGAAGGAGGAGGGAGACAACAGAAGACATTCTTGCTTGCTGTAAAGAGGAGGCTCCATCTGTGATAGCACGCTCTGCGCTGCAGTGATGATGAGAGCCAGTGCAGAACCATGGACAGATGTGGTCCCGGGCTCAAGTGTTGGTTTGAACTCAAACTCTTTCTGTCTCATTGCGTCATTCACAAACCCGTTCTCTGCCACTGCGTGCCACGATCCTTCTGCCAGCTCCCGTAGATGAACAGCTGTGCAAGCAGCAGCTGCACAGCCTCCTCCACGCCTGGCAATTCCAAAAATGACATTTGTTTCAGGTGTCGGGGGCTAGGGTGGATGTCGTAGACCTAAAGCAAGGGTCGGTGATGAGGAACTGACAGAGATGGATGAGAGAGAAGGGTGTGTGTGTGTGTGTGTGTGTGTGTGTGTGTCTGTGTGTCTGTGTGTGTGTGTTAGGTAGCTTCTAAAGTGACAAGGGGGAAATGAAAATGAGGGATTTACACAGCTGGATTTTAGGTAAGAAAGACGAGAAGTATGGATAGTGAGCCGACAGAGGGAAAGTGGATGTTACAGTTGAAGCTAGGGTTGAAAAAGCCAAAAATGCTCTTAAATAACTCCAAAGGAAAATAATAAAAGCTTGTTTTTGTTAAAAGTTAGAAAAAAGATTGAGAATCGCTGCATGTGTTTGTCTGGGTTAGGGACTGGTGGACTTGATCTGCCTTTGCAGTTGTGTGTGTGTGTGTGTGTGTGTGTGTTTGGGGGGGGAGGGGGGGGGGGGACAAAAAGAACAAGCTCTTGGTTTAGTGATACATCTAAGTTTTCTGCAGGAAACATTGGGGCAGAGCGTCTTCATACCAGCAGAGGGTAGCTTGGGTGGTTCGGGCATCTGAAGAGGATGCCTCCTGGTAACCTCACTGGTGGTTTTCCGGGCATGTCCCACTGGAGGGAAACCTCCAGGGCAGAATTCAAACTGGCTGGAGGGATTATATATCCTCTCTGGGCTGAGAATGCCCCAAGGACCTCCATCAGGTGGAAGAGAATTGTCACCCGAGACAGGAATATGTCGTTCCTTGCTAGACGCTTTACCTCCATAAGTCCCAACTGTGGTAAGAGGTAGAAAATAGATTAGTTTTACTTTAAAGCTGCAAATATCAGAGGATACAAATCCATCAGAATGTCATGTGGCGTCATCTGGTGGTGGTATGTCAGTATGCCACACGATGATGCATTAGTTAGTCAAAACTGTTTCCGCTTTCAGGGTCTTTAACCAAATATATCCTTGGAAATATTCTAGGATTTACAGTGACACACTCAGCTCTGAGACCGGCACATCGAGCATCTCCATAAACCACATCGGCACTTCCCCATTAGGTTTAAAAGTCAGTCTTCATACGTGGTAAAATATCGTCTCCCGACTGGATGGGGAATGCACGGATTTAACAAGGATGGAGCTCTGTGAAGTGTGAAATAAAGTACCTCAGAGAGGAGACCTCACTGTTCATCTCAAGGGTCTGAGTGAGAGAATCTGAGTCAAAAACGCAGAGAGAACGTTGTGAATGTCTTTGGTCTAACCCTAACCCTGACATTAACAGTTCTCATGTGGTATAATTGGGAAATTTCACTGAGGTTGTACAACAGTAAAAAGAGTGTATTTGTGTTTATTTGCACACATACTGCACGTTGAGTCAGCTCCTATTTCTGTTTATATGAAGAGCTACTTCATTAGTACTGAGCCAATCAGCTACCAGATTGAATCAACATCATCCTTTGAACTAGAAGTAGACTTGTGCTATTTGGAGAAAGGCCTGTTGGCACCAGGTTGGTGACCCCTGGTCTAGAGATTTTTGAAAACTTATGAAATGATTTTGATTTGTATTTTAGACTTTCTGAAGTCTTTCAAGGTCTTCCTTATCGCTTATCTGAACATTTTCAGACTCTTACCAGGATAAAAGTGTGTTTACAGATATTTTCCACACCTAGAGTGTTTAGTAGGTTAAACACTTCATGTTTATGAGACCACAGCGATCTCACTGAGATTTGGAAACAAAGAACTACTAATAAATGGTTCCAAAGGAACTCTAGAGCATTTTTTTCATAGTTTGATCGTGATTCTCGTCTTTTGAAAATGGACAATTTCTTGCATCCAGGTAGTAAACAGGCCCATCTCAGGTTAGCTTCTGAGAGCAAACGATATTGGGCGTGTTCAGGGTTAGGGTCAGTTTCACCTGCTGCGTGACACCTCCTTTAGGCGCATTTTTCAAACAGGAAGTATGGGTGGAGTAAGACTACTCAGGGGATAATTGAACCTTTAAACTGGTCCCAACCAACACAAACTCCAGTACCACCCCAACGCTATGCTGCCGACATCTAATCATGAATAGACTTTGTGCATTTGGAGGTCAAACCAACTGAAAAACTGATGGCTAAGCAGATGCCTTCTGGTGTGCAGGTTTTGTGTGTATTTTATCTTTAATTGTTTATTGTTGCACTTGCTGGTGGCTGTATGGCAACTACCCCCACGGAGGTAGGAAATATTACCCAAAGGGTACCTAAAGAAACGTGGGTACATTAAAACTAACATAGTTTTCCTGAAGGTATTTATGTCTTGAGAAACCAAAACTCCTTCCAAGTTCAAATTGTGCAAACCTCCTTTAGCCTCCCACTGTCCTAATGGGTGTGACCCTCGAGGAAAGTTGACCATTGTGCAGGGTTGATGGTTTATCCCTTGGGTCCACGTGGCAGGGGTGAGGAGTGAGCACCACCAGATATTCTGCTGGGGTGGGGCTGGGTTGGTGCCCTCGGACTCCGTGAGGCTCTGTAATGCTGCTGCTTTGGGCCCTGGCAGGATGGGCTGGGGTCTCCATGCCCTGGGTGCCGGTTGACAACAGAGGTGCCTATTGGGGCCAGTAGGGGAGCTGGCTCCCTGGAGGGCTTAGCCCAACCAGCCATCCCTTCCCATCCCCGCATATTTCTCTCCTCCTGCTCCCTCACATCATCACACAAACATACACATAGGACCTTGGGGGGTGGGCAAGTCAGGGAGTGCGGGTATGGACCCCATTTTCGCATTCCTGTGGCAACCTGCCCCCCAATTTTATTTGCACCTTATACACTTCCACTGACAACATTCCACACAAACACACACTTAGGGGCTTGGGCGTGAGCACATTCAACAGCATTTGGCAGGGGGATATCTCCGCCTCCTCCCGGGTGATGGTGCCCACTTCCAATTTCAAACCGCACTTAGACACCGAGGGCTGAGGGTGTAAGTGGGGTGGTGCGGTGACATCAGCTGGCATAGGCCGGATGATGCCCGCACTGCCCGCTCACCACAGCCATGGAATACACCTCATGGTCACAGAACACTATATTGGAGCAGGCGGAGGGAGACTAGGGGTCTTAGCCACCTCTGTTGTTGCTTGGCTTCCTGGGGCTGGAGGCTAGGAGGGAGATCTGGCCGTCTGGTTGGGGTATGGGGTGGTAGATTGCTGTGCTGAGCATTGGGCGGGGGGGCCTGCTCATCAGTACCCCAGCAGAAAGGGTCAAACTCTGGTTACCGGTGATGTTGTACCCAATGTGCAGCAGTACCAGGACCAGAGTGAGTAGGGTGTGTATGGGGAGCACGAGTGGGTGTCCGGCATGCATTTTTGTAAGTCTTTGGTTGTATGTGTATGTGTGAGCATGAGGGAAGTAGTGTATGACTGTGTTTGTGTATGACTGTATATGTCAGGTGGGGCCTTTGACTCCTCCCCTCTCCTGGAACTTCTTTTGATGATATAAATCTTCGTCCCCCCTCCCCCTGCCACACCTGGTGTGAGGGGTTGTGCCTTGGTCTGCCTGAGTGTTCGAGGCAACCGAGTCTGGGGGTTTAAGATTTTGGCATCTGCCTGATAGATCCCGGTGGCTCCCTGGTGGGGTCTGGGTCCCTGGGCTCTGCTGGGTCCCCGGCGGGGGTGGTAGCCCCTGGGTCCCGGGTCGCTGGGTCCTGGGCTCGGCCGGCTATGGGGTGGGAGGCTGCGGGCGGGCCTGAGGGCTTGCCGATGATGTCTCCCGGGACTCTGCCGGCTGCTGGTTGTGGCCCCCTGGGGCAATCCTCTGTGCCTCTCGAGGGGGGCGGGGGCCTTTCTGGTTGCAGTCTCCTTGGGGTTCCTGTGTTCTGGGGCAGCGCCTGGATCTCTGAGACTTGGAGCTCCCCCCGTCTCCTGCACATCTTTGGGGGGCGGATCTGTGGTCCCTCACACTCTCTGTTGGACGCTCCTATAGAGAAACCTTACATAAACAAGCACGTGTACACACACAGGTGCTCACATGGTGCTCTCAAAAGTATGGGCTTGGGCACGTTCAACACAGGTCTCAAGACTATAGTGGGCACTTAATTCACTGTGATTTATTATCGTGATTCTTCAGTTAAGCAATGTTGATTATATATTTCCTCATCAAGTTGACACAGTGATAGCTTGATCTTGTTGTA